GACGTGAGAACCAATAGGACGTGAGAACCAATAGGACGTGAGAACCAATAGGACGTGAGAACCAATAGGACGTGAGAACCAGGCAGAGGCCAAAATAGGAAAGAACAGACGTGCTAGGGGTAGGGAGTGCAGGAGAAACACCATCACCAACAACGAAAACAACTATAACAATAGTAACAACAACAACACCAACAACAGCAAAGACGACAACAACAACAATTATAACAACAGTAACAATAACAACAACGACGAAGGCAATAACGACAACAATAACAATAGTAACAACAACAACAATTAAAACAACAATTATAGCAATAATAACAGCAACATTAACAAAAACAAAAACAACACAACAACACCAATACTACTACTACTACTAATAAGGATAATGATAATAAAATAATAATCATAATACTAATGATAAAACAATAAAGACTATAAAATCACAGAGCTAGCTGTCGAGCGCTGATATGCGCTATACTAATGGAATTATCCTTATTATAATTATTATTATTATCATTATCTATTATATATTTGGTAACTTGGAAACACATGTGTCCCTTCCCATAAAACTAGCACAGCAGATTTCAAAGTTGGCAAGTACCGGCAAAAAGAGAGACAGGTCCCCATGATTTATTAGTTATTCATTTCCGGAATTTACACAAATATATTTGACAAAAAGTTCCCGTCCTTTCTTTTTTTTTTGGTAAGTGTTTTACGGCGCTCGCAACTGCATAAGGTCATATGAGCGTGCGGGACACACCTAATACTTTAAGTTGGTAGGAAATTTTGAATTTTGCCCGCATGGCGGCCGAAGCCTACTCTTACTCTGATCGATTTTAGACCACCAAGGGATCTTTAACGTGCGCAACTTGCACACGCGCCCTCCGAGATTTTTCGCCCTTGTCCGAGAAGGCTAGGTGTAGATCTTTCCTACCACAAGATCAGGGGTGTGGCAGAAAGACAGCAGTAAGAAGGAGTCAAGGAGTAGCAGTAGAAAGGCTGCAGAAAGAATCAAGAGCCCAGAGGAGGGGACAAAGGAGGTGAGGGAGTGGGGGCAGAAAGAGGAGACGAAAGCAGACGACAGAATATTGTTAGAGCAGGAAAGGAGGTGAAAGGAGACAATTTAAGAGAAGAAAATTTTTCGGTCGCTACCCGGATTCGAATCCGGGACCTTTGAATGAGAAGCGAACACCTTAACCTCTAGGCCACGAGAGCCCCCCGTCCTTCTTTGACCTTTGTGATTATTCTACCGGGAAACGAAACAAATCTCTATAGCTCTCCTTCACAACGGAAGTTCATTACAGCTCTTAAACGTTCGCCTAAGAAACACGATTCAAGAAACGGGGTGAGTAATTTCCGAGACCTGTAGTACGCGGAGACGTGATCCTGTGTATGCATCCAAAGAGTTGTTTTTGATATAGGGCCCAAAGAGAACAACTTTTTTGTTACTGGGTCAAGATTTGTGGACAAAATAGTTTTGCTCGGTCGCTAGCCTGTAGAAATTTTTGTAAACAGCTGTCAGAGGAAAGTGAACAAGCTATAGACGCTGCCTCTGTGATTTTGAAGACGTCGGTGTGTTCCTTTTACAGTGTAGCAGCCCTTTCGTGGATTCTTATTTTCTTAGTGCTTTTTTGTGATGGTGTAAGGCGAAATCCGTATTTTGTGATTGTGAAGGGCTAGACAGCAATACACTACAGCCATGTAGATCAAGAGAAGAGTTAATCAAGGCAGACTTAAACTAAAGCAATATAGATCTAGAAGCCAGGTATGACTGAAATGCTAGACAGCAAGGTACATGTAGATGGAAAAAGCCTCCGCGGCGTAGACCAGTAGAAGCAGTGACGTCAAGGCGTCGACCCTGAGCAAAGCCGGGTATTCAGCTTGTTATTAATATCATTATTATCATTACTATTATCATTACTATTATCATTATCATTCTTATTATTATTATTATCATTATTATTATTATTAATTACTATCATAATTATTATCATCATTACTATTATTATTATTTATTATCATTATTACTGTGACAGACTAGAGAGGACAGTGACAGACGACAGTGACAGACGACAGTGACAGACGGCAGTGACAGACGGCAGTGACAGACGACAGTGACAGACGACAGTGACAGACGACAGTGACAGACGACAGAGACAGACGACAGTGACAAGACGACAGTGACAGACGACAGTGACAGACGACAGTGACAGACGACAGTGACAGACGACAGAGACAGACGACAGTGACAGACGAAAGTGACAGACGAGTGACAGACGACAGTGACAGACGACAGAGACAGACGACAGAGACACCCTATATCAGACCAACGTGTGTGTGTGTGCCAAAAGAAAGGTACCAAAAGTCGCCACAGACCATTTGGAGCTACAGCTGATAATGACCCATTTGGAGCTACAGCTGATAATGACCCATTTGGAGCTACAGCTGATAATGACCCATTTGGAGCTACAGCTGATAATGACCCATTTGGAGCTACAGCTGATAATGACCCATTTGGAGCTACAGCTGATAATGACCCATTTGGAGCTACAGCTGATAATGACCCATTTGGAGCTACAGCTGATAATGACCCATTTGGAGCTACAGCTGATAATGACCCATTTGGAGCTACAGCTGATAATGACCAAAAATATCACTTTTTGGACCAAAATGCTTTTCCATTAAAAAAAAATTATAGTTCCACCATTTGTGAGGCATCGTGGTGAAATCAGGCGCTCGTCAAAATAATGAAATCAAAGAAACTGGCATTTTTCTGTCTGTCTGGCAATTTTGACCGAATTTTTTTTTTTGGATTCAACACAATGGTCCATTGAAATACACTTCTGTGTGGATTTTGCTGAAAATGTTTTCAGGCACAAAAATGTAAATTTGCAGTTTAC